GCCGGAACCCAAGGCTAATGGCCCAAACACCAAAATTGGATCCTTATTGGGGGCTGCCGAGAATCATATGGGCAAAGATGGCGGTAGTGATAGCGGCGCAGGTGAGGAGTACATGGGTTTTATCATTCCATCGGATCCATACACATTCCACCCCGTGCAGAAAAGTAGCACAAGTCTTCGAGGCTTGGGAGAGGATCACACCAAAGTCACGGTTGGTGAGCTCAATGACATGGAGCGGAAAAATCAATTTATCGGACTCATTTGCCAACAGCCGGCGCCCGAGGCCAATGGCTCAAACACCAAAAAAGGATGCTTGTTGCCAGCTGCTGAGGGTCCTGTGACCAAAGCCGGCGGCGGTGGTAATGGTGCCGATGATGAGTACATGGGTTTTATCATGCCATCGGATCCATACACATTTCATCCTGTACAGAACAGCGCCAGAGGTGTTCGAAACTTGGGAGCGGACCACAAGATATTGCAGATTATCGAAGCTAATGGTGGGACCACTAAGGGCGAAATTACAGCACTTATTCCGCAAAAACCAGGACTCAGGATGAATAAATCGAATCCCAAGACGGCACGCCAACGAGGTGAACGAAAGGGGAGAAGATCGTTTAAATGAAAACCCGACCGAATGAGCCAAGTAGGGGGGACGGGCTTAAAGCCTGATCTGCCACGTCCATCGCCTCGGACTCTTCTAAAATTTGGATATTTTCACCTGCCCAGCTGTCGCCTATCCCCTTTGCTTTCGAACAGTACAGAAATGAGCGTTTTTCAGACCCAATGTTGTTTTTTTCCTTTCCTTGCTCGTATCTAATCTCTTTGTCTTTCCTATCATTACTGGGTTTGATTTTGATTTTTTCTATTTGGGCCGGCTTCCCCAACCGGCGTTCTGTCTCATTGCTTTCAGACGCATGTTATCTGTACCGGGTCAACAGTGAGGGATTTGCTTGAAGCTTGTTTGATGTAACGATACCGCTCTTGCCTCAGAGCAACTGCCCTCAGCCTAATACGCGTAGTGCGAACAGATTATCTTTCTAGTATCTTTAGTGTTTAGGATGTTGAAAAGACGTCTGAAATTGCCCTTTCTGGTAATGTGCTAGTAAGGTTTATGAACCCAGCACTCTATTGTACTAGTACAATACATGGCGGCCCCGACGAGCCAAAGAACAAAAAGCAGGTCAGGGGAAATAGAGGTATGACAGCGCACCCAACGCCAAACCCAAGAAGAGCAGCATTCCTCGAGTCCAATTTTTGTTGTGCTCTACCAACGGTGAGATGATGACAAGAAAACGGGTCTGATACGAAGGTCCTACAACCCCCTTTTCAACCAGAATGTCCTATACTGTACCCGTATGCCGCACTCTCGTGAAGGAGTCACATAGCAAATTCCAACTACTTATCTAAAGTTCTCACTAGTGGAGTCTTCCTGATAAGGTTTAAACCCAGGTTCCAGGCAGGTGCTTGGCGTCCCGAAGCCTGGATGGTAGGATCGTCGGAAAGCTAATGTCCGGGGCAGTGACCTTTTACTTCCAGAAAGGTACAAACACGATTCGGTATGATATCATATGGTATTGTGGGTCTCCAGATGGCCCTAGTCTACTGGGCTCGGAGCCCGGGAAACAGTTAAAAACGTGTATGTAAGTCAGCTAGGAGTATCAAAAAGACTCCCAGATCCAGCATTCTCCTCATCCAAATCAAACATTCGAACAACGTTTCGTATGCCAACGCAACTTCTACAACGCGACCGCTCCTGGAACTTGGATTAAAAGAACCTATACACCCAACATCTCTCCCCCACGATTCCTCCCTGGAAGATGGAAAACACGCACCCGTTCTATCCTTTACGCCTTTCCCTTCCTCATTACGTTCCCAACACCTTATCCTCGATCCAATTAGTATCCGCCTCCGCAGCCGGAGCGTTTATCATCTTCGCCGGGACATGGATCCTCGTCAACGTGACAAGCAGGGAGATTACTACAAGTGAGAAGCTTCATTGTTTATGGTTTGCGCTATGTGCTAACCCGCTCCCAAGTCTCAAGACATAGGTAGTCATCCCTACTAACGAGGGATAACGTTAGGCGGCTTCATCCACTTCTTCTTCAAAGGATATTTCGGGGCTACCCCTGGGACTATCGCCGGCAGCACTCACTTGTTTGCCCAAATGTGGAGGGAATACGCTCTGGGTGATTCCAGATATTTGTCTTATGACGATTTCACCGTGGCTATGGAACGAATCTGTGCTGTAAACAGTCCTCCCCCCGCCCCCTCAAGTCTCGTCAGTTCCTGACTCCGCACAGCTATTCTGTAGCCCCCTCTCCTTCTGCCTCGTCTACGCAATAGCCACCAACCATCCCTCCCGATACCCTCTTCAGATAATCGTCAGTCTCGCACAATTGTACGGAGATGTGCTGTACTACGTGACGGCCTCGATCGGGGTTTACGAGAGCATCAGGCCGGAACGGTACTACTTCTGGGTGTACTTTGTGATGTTGAATTCGTTTTGGATCTTCATTCCCGGTTACCTGCTCTATAGGGGATTTACAGAGGGAGTTGAAGTGTTCAAAAGGGATACTGCGGGGAGAAAGAGGAAGGGGGAGTAGTGGTTGGGGGCAAAATGCATTGTCCAGGGTTGATCGTAATGGAGGATTCAATGTTGAGGGGGGTGAGGGGGCTGAATACATAGTTTTCGATGAGATTCCTCTCATGGCTTCACTTCTGGGAAACTGAAAATAGACTCGATACTCGAGTAACGGGGGTAAGCACACCACGAGATTCGAGCAAAACTCGCAACAAAAACCTATGCTGAATCAATTTTCTAACGTTCTTTTCCGGCATGAGCAAAGATCTCTAGGCGCCTAGTCCGTGGGGCCTATCCGCTTGGAGTCAATGATACACACAAGCATGATAAATCGTGAATACAGCCCGATACCCGCTAACAATAACTCGTATACACCGCCCTTTCTACCATAAGGACCAGGGCGGGCGAGCCTTGCACTAGGACGTTGGATCCGCATCCCCACTATATCTATCAATTCCAATATCGGTACTAGTATATATCAGGAAGCGTTAAATTTGACACACAAAGCCCCCTACATATTATACTATATTGTACGAGCTAGCTTCAACCCTCCACAGATCGCCAAAAGCACGACGACTCAAACACCGAAACACAGCCTCACAGCCTACGATTCCGCCCTACGGTGAGTCAAGCCACACCAGATGGCCACTGCCACTATCCACCAAACATCTCGCGGATTCGGGGCCCGTAACTCCGCACCGCCTCATGCTACGTCACTCGAAGACCCATGTCAGCACAAACTCCAAAATGGCCACGTGGGTGGGACAATACGAGGACAGCGGGCAGTAAGGGAAATCTCACCACGCCCCCCCGCTTACGACACGGGTGCCTTGCTCACGTCGTGTCCTGGCGTGCCGTACCAATAGCGAAAAGGTTCCAGAAATGACCACCCGGTGTGGGCTTTTTGGGCATCACGCACTACTAAGTTTAGGTTTGGCCTTGGGGTCTAAAGGCCCTACGGGAATGGCTGACTAGAGTTAGAGAGAGAGAGATATCAAGCCAGGGACGAAGAGAGTCGGGATAGTAATGGCGGGATGGTTTTCTCGCTCACCGGGTCGGGAGTTATCGTGTTGTGCAAGAAATCTCGGAGAGTGTGAGAACCCTACTAAACAAAATCGATTCCGGGCTAGAGGAATCGAAGCGATGAACCAGTTTTGGGCAGTTAGGGCGTCTCGAGTAGGACTAATGAATGGCCAATTAAAAAAATTTGTGAAGTGCCTGGTGCTTACCCGATCGTCCTCCAAAATTAAAGATTGTTGCACTGTACTTGTAGTACTGCACCGGTAACTACTAGTCTACTGCAGCTGAATTGCTCAATATTTGCATATAAATTAAGCCTATATTTCTTGATATTATCAGTTCCGAGGAGGTGGTTGGTGTGGAGATGTTTTCCTATTGCTTACTTTCCCCCTTTTGGCTATAGTACTGTACCGTATGGACTTTGCGTCTCCTTGATACAGAGCCAGCCCGAACTCCTATCGTGGTGGCAATAAGAGAGAAAGAAAAAGAAAAATCATACGGCACGAGAGGATCGAAGGGCAGACAAACGAACGGCCTTTGAAGAAAAATGATAATAACCCGAGGTATTGCTCGAGTGGACTTGATTGCGGCGAAAAAATATTCCGACCGAGTCGTTTTTTTCCGGGCCCAATGAGATGGGTACCGTAATGCATGTTCCATTCTTAGCGAAGGACAGCGAATGATGTCCGTCCAGCGGAGCATGCTGGCAGCCGTATCTCACCAACTACCGTATCGCACTGTCCGGTATCGTGCTCCGCATTACGCCTTGCAACCCTTCTTCCATTCACCACTGGACAACCGATTCAGCCAAGTTAGTAAGATACCGGTATTGGCATACGAGAGATCATGGCAGGAGTGGTTGAAGAGCCTAACCACCGTGCATGGCCGCTCAAGGACGAGTACCGGCATTTCCCGTATCACACAATAGTGCCAGCTCGGCCCAACCTCCGTAACGGAAGTGGGCCGCCTGGAACGCGTGTTGGCACGATACCTACTTTGCGGTTTCCCGGTTCCCTTGATCCCCCACAACCTACCTCGTATTCATCGAGCCGCAAAGCTTGTGAATGGGTTAACAGGGATTCGCAGCTCGGGCGAGGCTGCGCCATGTAAATTACCAGAGTGTGCAACTGCAACGGCAAGATCGTGCTGTTCGCCCTGGAAGCACTTCCCGAACCTCACCAAGATCATCGAAATGGCTTAGACCGTGTGGAAGGGTAGAATGGATATACGGTAGATGCCTACTAGGCTATGGTGAGTGAGAAGCCTGATGGCTATTGGCCCTTCACCTGGCCAAACCTGTTTCCCTCAGCCTCGTGGGTTCGGTAGAAGGTTCGTCTCGTGAAATATATAAGAGCGACACCCCAATCTCCCGGATGTCGTTCAATTCGGATCGATTTCAACAATTCAGTAGATAAGATTCATTCTCACGATGAAGCTCCCCATCTTCTCCATTACCTTTTCCGCCATCCTCTTTCTTCCACTTGGCCACACGACGGACCATTCGGTCCCGGAGGACGGGGGCTACTCTCGATGCCGATGTCTCCCTACAGATTATTGCTGGCCTAATCCATCCGAATGGGCCTCCTTTAACGCATCGGTTTCCGGATCCCTGATTGCTGTCAAACCCGTTGCATCGCCCTGCCATGATCCGACATTTGATCAAGCGGCTTGCGAGGACGCCAAAACCAACTACAAGTCATCAGTCTGGAGGGGAAGCTTCCCGGGTAAGGACTCCTTTAACCCCCCATAAACCTAGTTCGCGCTAACCACTTCTTTCTTCGTAAAGGTGGATATCAGCAAGTAAATTTCGAGACCTCGGCTGTTAAAAATGAGACTTGCTACATCGATACTCCCAGACCCTCTGCCTGCGGCCAAGGAAATGTGCCGATATATGCCGTTGCAGCAACTTCCCCAACACAGATTCAAAAGGGCGTCGACTTTGCTCGTGAAAGGAACCTTCGCCTTGTCATCAAGAACAGCGGGCATGATTACCTTGGCCGATCAGCGGGTAGGGGGTCACTGCAAATATGGACACACAACATGAACAGTATCGAGTTCTCGGACAGTTTCACCCCCGACGGTTGCAAGTGGAAGAAGGGCGAAGAGGCTGTTACCATTGGCGCCGGGGTACAGCTGAAGCCATTGTATTCGGCATTGAAGGACAAGCAGAAAACCGCGGTGATTGGGTTCGCTAATACGGTCGGTGCCGCGGGAGGTTATATTCAGGGTGGTGGACATTCACCCCTGGGACCATGGAAGGGGATGGCATCTGATAACGCTTATCAGTTCACCATTGTCACCGCAGATGTAAGTCGCTCACACGAATACCTCACCTTACCAGCTTGCACAAATGATTTTAACCGTCCACTCTGCTAGGGCAAACATGTAACCGCCAATGAATGCCAAAATTCGGATCTCTTCTGGGCTCTTCGGGGCGGTGGTGGTGGTACATTCGGGGTGGTAACATCCGTTACTATCCGCACCTTTCCCGATAGCAGCATGCTGGCCCTCAATATGAACACAACAATCCCGGACAGGAACCAATTCTACTCATTTGTAGCAGACTTCCATGCCTTCCTCCCAAAGTTCAGCGATGCGGGTGGATCAGGATACTACTACGTGTTCCACGAAACAAAGACCCTTATAATTGCCGGGCTCTTTGCCGGCCAATCCAACCCCAACGCCACCGAAGCCCTCTTTGCACCGCTCATGCAAAAAGCGCGTGAGTACACAAATTCCCAGGTAGACTGGTTCCAGTTCCCCCCGTTCCCCATCAGTGTCGGGGTAGACATTGGTCTAACCGGTTCCGACGCGACTGGTGGCATGACCCTACTGTCCTCCCGCCTTATCTCTCGCAAATTTCTCGAGTCCGCCGACGGGCCAAAGAAGTTGTCCGAGGTCTTCAAGGCCATCGGCCCAAACCAGAACACGGTATTTCTTGGACATGTCGTTGCGGGTGGCCAAGTAGCTAGGAACAACGGTATTGATTCGGCGATTAACCCATCCTGGCGAAAGGCCCTCACCCATCTTATATTTGCCCGGGGGTGGGATTCAAGTACTTCTTTCCAGGAGCAAGCCATTATAGCACGGAACATGACGGATGTCGAGACCCCCATCCTTGCTGCGTTGGAACCCGACATGGGGGCTTATATCAATGAGGCGGATTTAAATGAGAGGCACTGGCAGAAGGTTTTCTGGGGAGAGAACTATGACAGGTTGCTCGAAGTCAAGGCTAAGTGGGATGAGGGGGAATTGTTTATGTGCAAACCCTGCATTGGAAGTGAGAATTGGGACGCAGAGAGCATTTGTAGGAAGTAGAAGGAGGCACTGCTGTGGTGGTATATTTGCTAGAAATTAGGACTAGTGTAGCTAGTGGGGGTAACTTGAAATTGGCTATGATAATACGGTGTTATGTCTTTTAAAAAATTATTTAAAACGTTTAGTCATCTAACATTACGTCCTTCCTAGTATGGATACTATAGAGCCTATTCCTCCCCTCCCCTCCACGGATACTTGACCCCCAATCCCCGAAAAATAACCTCCGGGAGACGTCTCGAACAGATTTTCCCCCAAGTCCCAGATAGCCATCTCATACATATCCCTTACCAAACACCGCTATCAAAGATGACAGGAACGGGAATTCGCGCCCACATATAATAAAACAAGCACCGCGAAAAACACTACACTCATCACTCCAACCACGTTTGAAGTCCGGAAATTCGCAGACCCACCCAGAAGCAAAGCCATCCACCCTATCCCCGAGGGCCTCACTTACTTACTTACTTGCTCGCTTAGTGCCATGATACCCTAGACCATTCCACCTCGTATGACTAAGCTAGTGCGCTCGGCAGGATCCGGTAGGAGAGTCCATCAAATGGCCGAGACCCCCCCCCTGGCACGTGCGGTTCCCGGCCTTTGCAGGCTCGGCCAGTAGGTGAGTAAGTAAAGTCCGATAAAACTCTGGTGCGTGGTTGGGTCTGACCGCTGCAATACGATACTTGGATTTTATTAAGCTAACTTGTTATGTACAGTACGAGTACTGTACGAGTAGAATCCGGTTTGTAACTTATGTCTTGTCCTGTCGGTGATTGGTTGAACTCCACACTACGTACTCTAGAGTACTCGTACAATACCGCATTATCTGGCGATACTGGAAATCATGCTAAGGTCTAGTGTCGCCATGTGGCCTAAGTGTGACATGAGGGGGGCTTAGCGAATATAAAAAAAGGAAAGCGAGTAACAATATCTGCTGGCGGAGTTAAATTACAAGACTCACTCTTCCATCGTTGAATTGAAAAAAATAGGTTCCGTACTCGCCTGGTTGTACTTAAGTCATTGGGGTCGTCATGAGAATTTTCTTAGTTCCTACACTATCACTGAATGTGTGTAGTGCAACCATGATGGCAACTCGCCACTTTATCCCCTTCGGCGATAGCACCATTTCCAGTATCGCCAGATAATGCGGTACCATACCGGTAATCATACAGCCACAGAGACAGGGCGAACGACAGGTTTATAGTTTAGTCTGTGGTGGGCTCTCGCGAATTATTCTCCCCTCGCCCTAGTCTTTTTTTTTTTCTCTTCTTCTGAAGTTATCTCAATATCATATGAACCACTCGTTGATAGTAACTTTATTTCCCCTCCAGCTCAAATTCCGAGGTTTTTTTGCTTTTCTTCTTTTCTTTTTTTTCTCGTGACGATTCGTGGATTTTATCTGCTCGTAAAGATGGTGGTTTGATGCCGTGGTGTCTATCATAGAGTGTTAAGCTAGGAATTTGTGCTGCCCTTGTAATATACCGATAGTCTGGGATGTATTTTCATTTGTTCGTCGGTTAACTTTAACCCCCATGCACATACACGCGCGCACGAACAGCCTCTTGATGGATGAGTGGGAATCATTGGTAGGTAAGGTATGTAAAGCCAGACTACTTATAGCTCCCTAGGAGAACTACAAAGCAGGACTTTAGAATGTCTGATATTATTGGTACCTCTCTGGAAGTGTAATAGCCATGGTAGCATGTATAATATCATACTATCATCCCATACGTATCATACCGTGATAAAAACAGCCAATAAAATTCCTCGAGTGGAATTACCCCCCTCCCCCCCCCCAAACAAAAAAAGTTACCGAGCTCGCATTTCGCGAAACTGGTCAGGGATAGTACGGGATGGTATAGTACAGTATCCATAAGGCAAATTGCCTGACAGAGCAGAGGTAGATAGTATTTAACATATTTGGGGGTGTTATGAGTCACCCTTAAGATAGCTTTAAAGGCAAGAAAATTGACAACCATCACTCCACATCTGATTCAGAAATTTTTTATTTTTGGAACTGTAGGTGGAATTGGCTCAGTTTATATATCTATAAAATAAAAAAATCCAAGTCAAATAATTTTCACTAGAGAGGGCTATCAGTGATATGTTACTAATCTTATGGGGAAGTTTTTGGTACAAGTCTAACTATCCAAAGATTATACAAGAACTCTCCTATGCCAATACAACCAATATCTTCTTGGGACCTTAACTGAGTAAAGCTTCAGCTTAATAATACCAAGTCCTACTGTTCAATCCATTCTTTTATATCTACAACTTGAAAAGATGTATATACAAAGTCTGAAGTTTGATATGATTACATCCTTATAATCTATCTTCCTAGGAGAGCCCCCATTACACACACTAGTAAGACTCTTGGCAGATAGGTATCATAGAAGGAGGAGGCTGTGGCTACCAGCTATATCAGTGTTTCTGTATCTGCTTTACCTACCATGCCACTGCTGAATACTTTTACCAAGGTAGTTCTAAAATCTTGGTATGGAATGGTGACAGCTGTTAACTTGAAGGATCCAGTAGAAGAGTTAATAATGTTGATAAAGCATGTTTTGAGGCAGCTAAGTTCTTATGTATACTCAGGAAAATACTACCAGGGGCCACAATTCTGGCACTATTTAAATAAGCAGTAAAGGCAATAGGGAATAATCAGGGGTTCATGGCAATGGGCCAATCAGAAAACTAGCCAAGTGACCAGCTGTGAAATAAAACAATGCTAAGCTCATACATGTAATGGGATCACACAACTCATAAAAAAAACTTTTTCTCTTTCACTCTCTCATCCCCTTACTATCGTGCTCAACTAACTAACTTGAACAAATGGAAATAATAGGAGTATATAGCAACTACAAGCGATAACTGCAAACTATGAAGTCTCCACCCCCCCCCCCTTCTCTTCATGTACGTTCTCTCTTCCCTGTGTACGAGCGGGGAAACACAAACTGGTAAAGGAAAGACAAACTAATGCCTCCTCCTCTAGGTAAGTCTCCCACATATACTAGTAAACTAGAAAAGCTAACAAAGAAAAAACACAAACAGGAGCTCTTTCACTGTATGCTTCTCTGCTGCACTTTTCCTGTACTTCTCTACTGTACACTTTCCCACTGCGCTCTCCCCACCATATGTCTTTATACAGTATCTTTCTGCCCTCTCCCTGCTGTATGGTTTTCTGCTACGCTCTTCCAACACACTCTTCTGGTTTGCACTCAGGCTCTTCTAGTTTATGCTCTCATGCACTCCTCTGCAGTGTACTTTCTCCGTACATTCCTCCACCATGTGTGCTTTCCCACACTCTCCTGTAATCCACTATATACTCTCTCAAAATCAAAGCAAACAAGCAAATCACAGTACTGAAAGGAGGGGAAAGGGAAAAAATAAAGTAAGAGAATAAGGGAATAGAGAGAAGGAGAGGAAGGGAAATGAGAGGGAAGGAGTAGTGGGGATAGTGGGGGTGGGGAAAAGGTGTGAGTATGCCAAGCAGCATCTTGCTATTTCCAACAGCACCTATGTTATTCAGAGCGTTCATGCAGCTGGAAGTATAGATAATCCTGGAAAAAATTGGTATTACAGAGTCTAGAGTAACTCCACTTGAGAAGCTGGGTGACAGGAGGCCTGAGTAGTTTCTGGGGCCCCCTAGGCAAGATGGCTTAATAGGAGAGTAGACTATGGTGGGGTTACAAGGTAGACTTCTAGCCAGTGCCTTGTTTTCTAGGTATTTGGAAGTCTTAGTTGGGAAGCCTCTGATTGGCTGGCCTATCTTGGAGGGAAAGATCTCAAGAGCAGAGTTGGAGTAGGTAAAGGTAGGATTAAACTGGATGTACTAGTGGAAAAAGTGAGATGGATAGTTCTTGGCAGCAGATCTGCTGTGGGAGCATAATTCCCACTTCAATATACCGTATTTCTCTTTCTTTCTCTCTCGATATATGTGTGTGTATTATCATGCCGAGTGACAGCCCATGACGACACCCCAAGCGACTATCCATCTATCTGTTCTCGGCGTGCCCGCTATCCGTTACCGTGGCTATCCCACTACATACTTCCCCCCTCCCAGCGCCACATCTATAAAGTCTTGCGGTATTTCCGACCCGGCCCGGCAAATGTGGTTTGTCAAGGATTGTACAGTACCGTACGAGATGATAGTCAAGCAAAGTATAATATGATAAACTCTATGTTTCATTCCTGGCTGTCTGGGCTCCCCTGGGTGTGTACAGTGCTGTGAATCTCGGTAGGGTGTAGTAGTATTAGACTCGGGGATGTGGTGTTACTGTGGGTTCACCTGCACCGTAGCGCGTGGGGGTTATTGACTTGGGGGTGAGCGAGTGCCAGTGCTTTTTCGAGATGCATGTGGTGCTGCTGCTGGTTGCAGGAGAGAAGTATGATATATTGTTATGAAATAGGGCTCTCTATTTCTTTATCGATAATGCTGTAAAGCTCCGAGAGCCGCACACGGTAAAGGCCCCATTTGAAACAATTCCCATGTGGAAGAAAGTGAAGTAACTACAATACCGCACGAAACGGTAACAAATGGACAACAAAACTCTTTATCAACAAAATAAGATCAAAAACTCCCTATAGGATCCGTTGAATAGACAAAACAGAACAAGACAAAAAAACTCCCCCCTATCTGACTCTGGGACAACAACAAAGGATAATACAAGCACAATCCTCAGCCAAGAAACATTCCACAACCTGCCAAAAGCAGAAACCCCAGTATGTGTTCCCCTCCCGCGCTTACTCACCACCCACGAGCTTGAATGACGGCCCCCAAACACCTTCCTACTCCCTCTAGATCCGTGAGTAAACTGACATGGCCTCTATCCACCGCAACTCTCTTAGTGCACTTGTATCCAGGGGGGAGCTGAGCTTGCTTGGCCAATGTGACCCCATCACCGGCGCCAAAGGCTAAATCCTCGAATGGAGACTCTCGGATCCTTTCCTTTCCACAAACCAATATCCCACGAACGGTGGCCATGGTTTTGCAATAGAGCACTGTCATGGGCGGATATAAGCCCATGGAGTCCTTAACCGGGTCGTAGTCTAGTCCCCGTTTGAACTCGAGTGTTTCGGAGAGTACCCTTTCGAGGTAGAGGATTGTCTTCGAGAGCGGAAGTGTGCATTTCTGCGCGTCCGCTGGCGCCAAGATTTTCAAGTCGGCTACTGCATTGAGGGAGCTTTCAGAGACGTTGGAGGTTGAATTGGTTGAATTGGTTCGTTGGGGGGGAGGCTTTCTTGGAGGTGCTCCAAGTGAATTAGGTAATCCCGGGCTCGCCCTTGAGGCCGGCGGAGAGGTGGGGGGTGACGGCGGTGGGTGCACGCTCTCAGGTAGCGTATTCAGCTGGCTGGGGGAAACGCACGGTGAGAGGCGGTGCCTTATCCAAGTATCTACATTGAAAAAGTCGAGGGGAAGCTGCCCCCCTGTATCCCGGTCGATAAAACATTGGCCATCCTCAGGCAAGAAAACAAAGGACGTCCGGAATGAAAAGTTTGCCTAGAACATCCCATCCGAGTGAGAAGCTTTCTACGATAAAGGAAAAATATTTTGCACGTTTGATTATTATGCATACCTGAGCGGAGAAAACCCGAGAATTAAGCATCACCTCATCCCCATTCCTGAAAGCCCCCAGAATACTTATACAGGTGCTCGGGGTTCCAGCGAAAACAACCCCAGAGAATAACTCCGGCCTCTGGTTGATGGCATGACGAGTGATAAGTCCACCAAGGGAATGAGCAATAACCAAAGCACCCTGCCCTTTTTTCCTCTTGGTTCCAGGCTGTGCCCCATCATTGCACGGTAAAGTCTCCAAAAACTCAATAAGTCTCTGGGAAAGTAATTTTGGTGAAAGCCTCCAATCATATCCCCAATTATGAACTCTTCTGTTATTCTCCTCCGCCCCTGACCTTAGCCTCTTCAGCAGGCGTTTCGACACATCCACAGGCCCGATGCCAGTTAGCATCCCATCAGCAACGATCCTTTCCTTCATCGCTTCGTCATCCCCCGGATCCAACCCGACCTCCAGGTCCACCTTCCTCAAATTCAGCCCAACTTTCAATGGAATCCACACACGCCGATTATTCATACTCAGATCCCGTAACACCGACCCCCTATATCCGCCGAGCACAACCACATCCCCCTGAACCGACCCCAACGCCTCCAATGCAGGTGTAGGAGGTGTATACACTGGCAGCCCGTCGACGATAGCCCTTATACGGACGCTGGGATTCTTCGTGATGTGACTAAATCGAGAGTCATCCCCCAACGATGAGGTCGTGGAGAAAGTCCTGCTAAGGCAATTCCCCCAACCATTTATAGCTCCAGGACCAGGAATATAGTGAGGATTCCCTCGTAAATAATCCTCTGAACACGGCCGTTGCGGTGCCGGTCTGGGATTGGCGAAACTGTCAGTATCCGATTCCGGAGGTGTCGGTGGCCTCTCAGCATATGGGTTCGTAATCCCATTTCCCATGGATAAAGGTTCGGGTGGGATATTGTGACGCGAGTTATCAACATCCTGTAGAGGTAACATCGGAGGAGATGGATAGCTTTTTACGAAAGCCGGTGCAGGTGACGGCATTGACATCCGTCCCAGGACTGGCCTTCTCCTAGTTGGATTTCTTAGGTTGAGCTGAAGCGCGGTTGGGCCTGTAGAAAGTATATTGGTGGGTGTGGCATGTCGATCAAACCGCCCAGCGTCCAGTGGAGGAATAACATCAGCAGTACTCCTCATAATTCCGTTTCCCCCAAGCCGGGGCGTTGGACGAGGCACCACGTCCTCTATACATTCCTCATCCTCAGGGGAAATCCAGGTTGCGCCGGGGTAGATGGCAGATGATCGAGCCCCGGGCATCAGAGGAGAGAGAATATAGCCCGCATCTATCTCCCGCACATCCTCCGGCCGGCCCCCTCGGATAATCGCCCCATACTCTCCTCTCCGTTCCCCTTCCTCTCCCCCCTCCCTAAGATCCGACGACTGAGAATCATCTGATCCAGGCAACGGCTCCGGATAGGGTACAAACGATGCCGTAGGCAAAGAATAATTCCGTACATGTCCGCTACTCAGAGCCAGCGGCCTGCCTTCCCCGTTCCAGGTAGGCTGAGGAGCTCTCTTTCGTCTCCCAAGAAACATTCGAACCGGAACAAGGTGATTGACAGAATGGAGCAGTAAATAATCAAAAACCCGGAGAGATCAACATTTAACGACCAAAAAAACCGACAGAAAGGAAGAAAGGAAGCAAGAAGCAACAATGTAGCTAAGCTGAGAGTGAGCCTATACCCGCGGCGAAAGAGGGCTTGCCCCGTGCAGGAAGTGTCCGGGAATACGAGTGGGGAGTTTGTGGTACGCTCGGATTTTTGCCATAAAAGTTGCGAACCCCTGTTTCCGCATACTGCTCGCCTACCGTAGGAGTACCGGTATCATATATACCTCCACCCAGGTACCACACTCCACCGCATCATCTGCAATTATCCGGTCTTTAGCCAAGGCCCGGCGTTTCCCAAGGTTTGATCGTGCCTAGGGTCTGTAACCTGCCCGCTCCTTCAGCAACAACTATAATAGCACGACGAAACTAAAAGCGAACGCACACCGAGGAGGATGAGTAGTGGAGGGAAACTCTCAATAGGACCACTCAGAGTTGACCCTTCTTTATCTCCATGGACGCTTTTCGAATGGACGGATGATTGGGTAGAGGGATATGGTCCTTGTGTACCGGTATTCTGCTACTCCTAATTGACCGAGGTTGTCTCAGATGTTCAGTGCAATACAGCGAAGCGCTCAGTATGATAATCGCTGATCCGCAGGGGTTGCCTGGGTAATGGTATATTTCCGGTATGATGATCAGAGAGGTGCCAAACGATCAGCCACATGGCACCGGACACCAAACATCCAGCTGCTTTATGACCTACCGGTAGTTGACTTTGGAGCAGTGGGCACTTTTCAAGTCCATTCCCCTCACCCAATACTCCTCCAATCCGAAAGCAAAGTTCATTGAGATAAAGAGGAGCACATTTTGGGTCGTTCTATCGAGAGTTTCTTTTTACCCTGTGGCTTTGCTCGTCGAAAGGGCCCATTTCGGGCACCGGCCACCACCAGGGTCCCAACCTCAAGTGGCGTCCCGTCCTGGCTGAAAACCGGATTATTGCAGATAATACGGGTACCGGTGTACTCGAGTACGGTACTCGTACAAGTACCCTATCCCCAAAAGGGGCAGAGGTGAAACAACGAAACTCAGCGCAGCCGAGGATTGCGCGATAGTGGGGTCCAAGGCAAGCAGTTTGCAACATCATCAATCGCTGAAATCAGTGTGGGGAGAGATCTCGGCAATACCGGTGCTACATGTGCTGTACTCCGCCCGTCTACCCTGCTGCGGTGACCTCAACCCTTGCCCTTATCCCCTGCCGATGGCCCAATCTCTTGGTTGCATCGAATTTTGTTCCTTCGCCTCTTCAAGGGATACGATATGGCAACTTTTATCCTGTCCTACGTACGTACAGTACCGGTACTTGTACGTGATGGTAGGCATCCCAAGGGCTAATTTATAATCATTAAGCAATCAAAGTCTTGGCCCGAGAAATCATGCAAGTGGCGAGAATAGAGAGTTTGCGCAGGTAGACCTAGGTGGGAGTTATCAACGATGTCACTAGGGGTTGCCGCTCGCATGAACAGCCCATCAAACTCCCGACAATTGTTGAGTTTCTTAAATTCCATGTATTTAAGAGGTCAATCCATCAGCCAATTCTCAGCTTTCATGAAGTTTCTCTTCTCAGGATTGTCCTTGAGAAGAATAGCTACAAAATCATACCTGAATAGAGGCATAAAGGTGTAATTCAAGTGGGCATTTGTGGTCCTCAATTCCAGGTCCGATTTTCGGGTTTTTACACCTTGACCAGGTGGGACCAAAGAACCAGGTGGCCAAGCCTTATTGCTAACTTGTATTAACACCACCTAGGTCTCACTGCGCAAACTCTCTAATACGGCATCATACTCGAGTACGGTACAGCGCTAGTGTGCTACTACCAAGGGTATTACCACTCCGCACTACCGGTATGATACGATGGTATCATACTCGTAGGCCAAGGAGCACAGCCAATAAATTACGGCAGCTTGCTGATATTGCTATCGCTACAACGACGGGAACACTGTCGTGGAACACAAGTCCCGCCACCAAAGCACTCCGGACCATCACAGCAAGACATAGAGATGCGCACTTTGCCCCCACTTCAAGCGAGGGCCTAAGGAATCCGTACAGATTGACACACCGCGAGAGAGACCAGAGTCTGGGCGCGGGCTACAATTGACAGATTGGCAAACTCGTGAACAGAAGCCAAATCAATCCGGTATGGTGCGGGCACTTGTATAGCACACGGCCAATATGGCGATTAGCAAGCGCCAAAGGACAATTCTCAATAATTTCGAGGCTCCCGATCCCGGCTAGTGGCTGATAGGGTAATACCGGTATACGCATCCGGAACTCCATGACTGAAGCTTACCCGTCCCAGGCAAGAGGTATCAGAAAATACGAGTGGAGAGTTTGTGATACCACGGACCCTATGCCGCACTTCCGTACTTTGCGAACCCCCGTTTTTGGATACCGTACTAGTACAGTGACCCCCCATACCATACTGTATTGTACTAGTACTAGCGCTAGTACAGCACATACCGGTACCTACTGTATCGTACTCGAGTACTTCTTGCCTCCTGTACCGTAGGACAAGTACTGTACCTCCCGGTACAATACATTCGCTCATGCAGTTCGGGAACTCTTGGACCCACTAATTCCCCGGGTCGATCGACGTACTAGAGGTACTGCAGTCAAAAAGTGAGTCCTGCTGTCAAATGTAAAAAAAAATGTTTCCAGGCTTCAGAGGGCATTGTGTACTCGAGGACAAGTGGGGAATGCTTTGATCCCTGTCCCCATCCGAGCGAGCATTTTGAGGGTTTCCCTACCTGTATCCGATCAGTAGAAATATTTTCCCCACTTTCTATTGTACATTAGCAAAAGTAAGCGAACATCATGATGCAATGGTGCACACCCCCATATCAACACATGGTTCTTCAATGGATAGCTACCAAAACCTCAATCAAATAATGTTTAAAAATAAAGTAAATACATAGAGCTAATTAATACTCTGTATACCATCCATCTGTATCAATAACTGCCTCAATCCTGTTAATCATAGTGTTAACCATAGATTCTGCTAACTGGTTAAGATCTGGAGAGTAGGAAGAGATTTGTTTAATAGTAATACCTTTAGACCTGAGCCATCTCATGAAGAGGGGATGGGTTTTGGCATTGTTAATAATCAAAAAAATTTCCTCCTATCCTTATTCTGTTCTGATTTCCTTCCATATACCTATGAAATTATACTAATTATAATCCTGAATAATGGATCCTGAACTTCTTCACTAGCAGAATTGTGATCAGGAAAGGCAGGAACTTGAAGTAAAAAACCATATCTCTAACCATGAAAAAAACAGTTATCATTTGACTAACCTTCCTCTCACTTCTTCTAGTAGTAGGCTCAATACAGTCCTTATATTACTTATCTTTAGAATACCTAAATATCTATTTTCTCCACTCACTCTTATCTCTTTTCACTACAACCTTATCTTTCTACATTGCTCTTAGCTCTTCCTCCACATCTCTCTAGTCCAATTCCTATGGGCCAAAGCCTACTCTAATCTCTTTCTAGCAATTTTTATACTTAAGTACTTTCTCTTCTTTGTCATCTATTTACATAGATACTTTTCTCCACTCGCAAGTCTTATTTTCACAGTATGTCTAGTCACTTGAGTTGCAACTTGAACCCCCTCAGCAACCCTCCTACAAGCTATAAACCTCTTATAAAGAGCTGCCTCTAGTATTGAATTATTCTCCTCTTTAGTAAACTTATTTTTTCTGCCTGAATGCTCTCTTTTCACTCTATTACTAATAGATTGAATTTTATTGACTATATTGAAACCAGTTGATAGAGGAATATTGAAGTTATATAAAATTTCACAAAATAGAATACCTTTTTCTCACTGTCCAGTCACTTAACCTCTTTAATCAGGAATAGGATATGTGGTAAGAATTAACTTATATCTATCACTTCTACAAGAATACATTATAGAGATATTTCTGTTGTAATAAAGAGATGCCAGTAGTAGAGTTTAGAAATAAGAGAGAGGAGTTGCAATATTGCAGATTTAAGTGTTATGATGTAAAATATTTACTTACTTTTGCAAATACTAATATATAATACTAATATACTTGAGTATAGTATTATACTAGTACAAGTACCAGGTATAATATTTTCCTACAAGGTAGTAATAGTTAGAGTGCTTAAGACATCAAATTTATTGTATAGGAAAACAAAACAATAATACACTACTCCAAACAGGGTTTTCAGATGTTGGTTGGATTTTGAGTATTCAAAACAGTGAGGTGTAATTGTATAAGTATTTCAATATCCAGAATAGCTACTTTTTACTAGCTAAACCTATAGTAAAGACTATTAGTAATAGATTAGTTAGTATTTTTTTTTTTCATATCTTACAAATACAGGCAGAAACTAAGTCTACTAATGACTTTAGTTCTTCAGAAAAAATTGTCTTTCATTATTCTTGAATTGTAGTATAGAGTACTAGTAGTACATTATTTATTACAGGAAATGAAGTCTGCTTTCAATTACATCCTTTCAGAGTTTACTAAATATTTTCAATAGAACTAATACTACCAGGACATAAGAAAGATCAATCAATAAACTAGTTCTATATTCCAAGTTCCCAAAACTTTCTTCAAGTGTAACCTACTTAGTAGAGACTGGTATTATCCTATTATAAGTAAACATAGTCTAGTTGGAGCTGTAATTGTATCTCCTAGAACTGATAAAATTCTGGTACTATATACATGGAAAATAAGGTAGTCTTAATTGTTTCCCCCCATCTTTCCTTATTCTAAAAGATCTATAATTCTTTTTCATATTTCTTAAAACAAGCCTAAACCACAATTGGATCTAGTTTTTTAAATTTTGGAACTATGCAATTTTCCAAATCCTCTTCACTAGCCTACCTAGTAATATAAATTTACCTACTTATTGACAGTTCACCAATATTGAATACAGACTTATCACTCCAAATTACTTATA